TGATACCACCTTGGAAAACCAAGGAGAGGTCACTGTGAGTTAGATCCGACTCGATGGCAGTGAGTTTTTTGTAGATAAAATGTTATTAAACACTGCCAACCTCATTCATTTACATATTGTCTATGTCTGCTTTTATGCTACAACAACAAAGTTGAATGCTGGTGACAGAGACCCTATGACTTAAAATATTTACCATCTGGCCCTTTACACAAGTATTTTGCTGACATTAGACTCACCATGGAGAAACTTAAAATATAAATGATATTATATGTATCTCCAGAGAAACCAAACTCACTGCCGTCAAGTCGATTCTGACTCAGCGACCTCTCCTTGGGTTTCTAAGGCAGCATCTCTGCAGAAGTAAATTGTCCAGACTTCTTCCTTCTGATAGACACACACACACACACACACACACACACACACATATGGCATTACCTGTATTCAATCAGTTAAATCAGAATGTGGAGTAGGGCTTTGGGAGTTGGTCCAACAACCAGGTTTATTTAATTTATTTTTTAAAAAACATCCTAGATGAATATAATGTGCAGCCAGAGTTGAGCAACAGTAATAGATGAATCTCTGCCCTTGAGATGTATATAGTTTATTGAGGAGAGAGAAACTTACAAAGATTAATAAAAGTACATACAGCTATAATGGTAATATTTACAAAATCCCAAGGGAGCACTGCATAGGGACCATTTTACCTCATTAGGGAAGTTTTCATAAAGTTGCCCAGTAATGTATCAGACAGTGTTTCTGTGCTATTCATAAGGTTTTCCCTGGCCAACTTTTGAGAAGTGGATGGCCTCCTCCCTCTTCCTAGTCTGTCATAGTCTATAAGCTGCATTTGAAACATGTGCACCATGTGCAACTCTGCTGGTGTATGAAATACCAGTGGCACAGCCTCCAGCCTCACAGCAATGTACAAGCCCCATAGGATGACAAACTGACAGACAAGTTTGACTCCCTTAGCTATTGGAAACCTCTGTGCCCTCCCCTTACCTAATTCCTGCTTGAAGCCTGCTATTTTGTGGTGCCTTGCCACTCTCTCCCTTTCCTGGCTATAGGGGGCTTGGGGCATTGCCTTGCCTCCTGCCCCTTTTCCCCTGGATATCCTGCCACTCCAGAGGTCCCTGGCCTCTCCTGCTCCCTCCTTTTCCTGGTTCTAGGGGGCTTGGGGCCTAGCCTTGCCTCCTGCCCCTTTATACCTGGATATCCTGCTAGTCCTGTGATAGGCTGATGACACAACTTTGCTTGCTGACTGAAAATGAGGATGACTTGAGGCACTTACTGATGAAGATTGAAGAATGCAGTCTGCAGTATATATTATATCTCAATATAAAGAAAACAAAAATCCTTACAACTAGTCCTATAATTAACATTTTGATAAATGGAGGAAAGATTGAAATTGTCAAAGACTTCACATTGCTCGGTTCTACAATCGATGCCAATGGAAGCAGCAGTCAGAACATCAGATGACATAAAGCGCTGGGGAAGTCATCTGCAAAGGACCTCTTTTAAGCGCTGAAGAGCAAAGATGTCTCCTTGAGGCCTAAGGTGTGCCTGACACAAGTTATGGTATTTTCAGTTGCCTCATATGAGGTGAGAGCTAGACAGTGAATAAGGAAGACCCAAGAAGAATTGATGCTTCTGAGCTGTGGTGTTGATGAATAATGCTGAAAGTACCGTGGACTGCTAAAAGAACTAACAGGTCTGTCCTGGAGGAAGTGCAGCCAGAATGCTCCTTGGAGGCGAGAATGGCCAGACTTCATCTCACATACTTTGGCCATGTTGTCAGAAAGGACCATTCCTGGAGAAGGGTGTCATGCTTGGTAAAGTGGAGGGTCAGCGAAAGAGGGGAAGGTCCTCAATGAGATGGATTGACATGGTGGCAGCGGCAAGGGGCTCAAGTATAGCAAGAATCATGGAACTGGTTCAGGACTGTGAGGTGTTTCGTTCTGCTGTGCATAGGGTCACTATGAGTCGGAGATGACTCAATGGCACCTAACAAAGGGAAGTTTTCAAAGGAGCTCTGCTCCCATAGTGCCTAAGGCACTTGACTGCTAACTGGAAGGTTGGTAGTTCAAGCCTACCAGACATTCTGTGAGGCAATCTACTTCTGTAAAGATTTACCTCCTCAGAAACCTTGTGGGGGTCATTTTGAGTTCAAATTGACTCCATGACAGTGAGAGTTTTTTGAGGGAAGTTTTCAAGGTACTTTGATGGTGCAGTGGTTAAGTACTTGGCTATTAACTGAAAGGTTGGTGGTGTGAACCCACTGGCTGCTTCCCCATAGAAAATACCTGGTGATCTGCTGTCAAAAAGATAACAGCCTAGGAAAGCTTATGGGGCAGTTCCAATCTGTCCTATAGGATCACTATGTGTCCGAATAACTTGATGGCATACAAACAACAAGGAAGCTTTCACAAGAGGAATAGATAAACAAAATTTTGAAGGATTAATCCACTGGCTTAAAAGATCCACTGGGATGTGGTGGTGAGAGAAAGAGAAGTAGTTACAAGCAGAAAAAACAGCTTATGCAAAGGCAGGTAGACATGAAAGACCATGGCCCATTCAAGAATGACCAGAGGCTCAGTGTGACCAGAACACAGGGGAAGATAAGAATCAAGTCACAGAATATCAAACCAAAACCAAAGCTATTGCTGTACAGTCAAGTCTGATTTATAGAAACTCTATAGGACAGAGTAGAACTACCCCAGAGGGTTTCCAAGGCTGTAATCTTCATGAAAGCAGACTGCCACATCTTTCTCCCATGGAGTAATTGGTGGATTCAAACCACCGACCTTTTCATTAGCAAGTGCTTAAGCACTGTGCAGCAGGGGCTTCTTATAGGGTTTTATACCAGAGAAATAGGGGCCAAACCGATAATGGCTTTTGTATGTTTGGATAAGAAGTTTGGAATTTATTGTGTTGACTATGGGGATGCATGGAAAATTGAGGTTTTCTAGGCATCAGATTTTATACCTTTGAAATAACGTATTAGCTCAGATTGTTGCCAGGAACAGTATAGCTCTAAAATATAGGTTCCTGGAATGTGTCAGTTACTCTTTTGATATCTTCAGGGCTGGAAACATAGTTGGGGTTATGTGCATAACACGATCCCTGTAGCAGTGGGTCACTGTCATCTCCTGTAGTTGCTCCATTTCTCTTAATAGTACAACTGAGGTCAGTGTTACCTTGTGGGTTCACCACAGGGCTTTGAGAAAGCAAACTTATGGAGGAGAAATATCCTGTATGATCAATGTACCAAGGCCCTTAGTAAACAGTATTACATGATGATATAATACTAGTAAAATACTTTATATTCTGTGTAGAAAGGTCCTATAAAATGGGGACAGTTTTCTTGTAAAAATTCACATTCCTCACAATAAATACTTTCAAAATTAATATTCTTCACATTTAATACCTATGATATTTTAGCATCTGTAAGTCTTTATACTCAAAATTTGGTGTACGGATTACTATAGTAAATCTTCAGTATTATATCGTATTTTACTATTTTAAAACTTCTCATCTATATCAGTTCTCTACATTATAATTTCATCTCTGTTCAGACGTTACTGGGCTTGCTATATCTCTACTTGTATCCTTAATAAACTACAATATAAAGTTATTGGTTTTATATCCCTATGTGAAGTCATTCAAATACTGGTGTGTACTGAATACACTGTTGATCTCTTGGAGGGTCTCCCCAAGTGTACAGACTAGCTGGTGAATCAAAAAATGAGTCCCAATGATCAAAGCTTTTGAGATACTAAGGCAGCCCAATCTGTACATTCTGATTCATTTCATCAAATACAGATAGATGAATGCACTGGAAATTTCAAAAGATATTTTGAATGATGCAAGTTGAAATAGACCTCTTTGAAACTCTAGCAAGAACTGTTGGAAAAAACTCACATGATTTCTGTCATTTGAACATCAAGCATTCTTATTTAAGGAGGTGTTCTGAATGTTTTTAAAATGGTATACAATTAGTAACTATTCCTCCCTCCACCAAAAAAAAATTAGAGAGAAACTCTAGAATATGACCCTATTGACCCCTCAATCCTACTTTTTCTCCTCAGACATTGATGAATGTGCCGAGGGGCGCCATTACTGTCGTGAGAATACAATGTGTGTCAATACCCCAGGTTCTTTCATGTGCATCTGTAAAACTGGATACATCAGAATTGATGATTATTCATGTACAGGTAAGTGAAGGCTATTTACTTCTTTTAAAAAAGTTAAAAAAAAAAAAGATTTTTTTAATGAGTATTCTAAAAATACTCCCTTAAATAAAAAAGCATGTCTTAAGGAAAAGGGTATCTTCTTGATCTGGTAGTTAATTCTGAAGCTGTTCTAAGGAAAGGAATATGTATTTGTTCTTGATAAATTTCATATTTACTATTAGGAACAAAGAAAAACTTAAGAACTAGATTAAAATTATAGTAAAGTTATACTTTAAAATTATTTATACTCAAAACATATGTTAAGTACTTTGGCAAATCTGAGAAATAAGCCCTAAACTAGATTTCCTTTGTATTACAGTAGATTTTTGAATAGATTAATAATGACATATATCATGTTACAATGGGTTTTAGTTTTTTGGTTTATTTTTTAGAAATAGGTCCTTGGGGTACTAGGAATTGGAAATATTAAAGAGAACTGAGATTCTTCACACCTTTGAAAAGTATATTGGGCGACTACACAAAAGAGGTTCTGCTTATGGTTGTTTTGTGAAATACCACTCCTTTCAGTACAATTCATAGTCCTGCTCAGGGAGGTGTTGAGGGTCAGTGGTGCCTGAAGTTAGATCTAGGATAAGCAGCTTATTCATTTCATAGTCTATAGGTTCCTTCCTGTAGAATATAAAAAAAAATAGTGATTGAAGAGTTGCTTGAAGATTATGGGATTTGAGGAAATGTGGATGTGCAATAGAACATTCCTTTGGACTTTTATGTTTTGTTTTGCATCTTAAATTGTTTTTTTAAATAGGTACAACATCAAAGTAACACATTTAAGGAAAACATGTGGAATCATAAAACTGAAGAACACCTAAAAACATTATTCTTAACACTTTTTACATTATCTCCAACTTTATAATTTTTATCAGATGAATGTATAAACAATACCTAGATTTTTCCAGGGAAAGACAGTAACAGTCTGCAGTGAAAATGTGCATCTACAATAAAGTTGTCATTTCATTTCTATGTTTTAACGTGCCTACTTCTACATCTTTATTATGGTGACCACACTGTATACTAATTGATATCCTATTTGTCAGTAAGAGCAGGGGGAAGGACTTTCCTATAAAATCATACATGATATTTACATAAAAACAAATGATGGAAATCAAATATAAACAGAAGTGTCCACAATCTATGTTGCATAACCAAAGATATCTGAAGTTAGAAACATATTTAATACAGAAATGCCAATAGATTTCCAAGTTTCTGCTTTTTTGTTAGTTTATCCTAAATCTTTCACATCATAGGAACCATCCTTCACTTTTTCGTGCACTTTTTCTTTTTTAAATCACATTGAATGGCAGAGTGTCTTGAATGAAAACTCTTTTTTCTTCAGTTAGATATGCATTCAACATCAAGACAGGATTAAAAAAGAGTAAATCTTAATAAATAAAAGCAGAATAGAAATGCAAAGTGTACTGTATTAGTGGTATCAATTAGCCTGAGTTAGAGTTTAATGGCTAACAACAACAAAAGCAATCTAAGATATAAACTATTTTATCTTAGTGATATTTCACCATGTGCTCATTAAAAATAAGAGTGCTGGTAATTTTCAAGGAGTCTGCTGACTCTTTGGGATTAGATACTTAAAAAGTTTTTGTATATTTTTATATTCCTAGTCATATTTTTATATTTCTTATGTGCTTTAAAAGTGTTAAAGGTTTTAAGTAAGAGTGTATGGCACATAGTTTGGTCTACTGTTGAATGATGATTGTTTCTTCAGGGTAGGATATTTTCAAGAGATTCATTTCCATTCTGTCTGTTGCTTGTAAATCCCCAGGATGGTTTAGCATTCATCCACGTGGAGAATCTTCTGCTTTGGCTTTTGCATCTCCCAGTGCATTTCCCTTCCAAATAAATTCCCACAAATTACTGTTTATTTTTGACTAGTTAGGGAGAATTTTCCTTTAGGATTCCAAAGTATCTAATGATAGAAATACCAGCCACTTTGTGGAAGGAAGACTGGGTGCTCTGCTTCCTTAAAGATTTATCACCTAAATCTTTAAGTGATTTAAAGGGGGAGGGGGACGTTTGCTATGAATTAGAATCAACTCCATGGCAGTGAGGATTTTTATTTTTTGTTTTTGTTTTAATGATGTAAATGAAGTATCCCTTTGCAGGAATGCTGTTGTTGTTGTTGATATGTGCCATCAAGTCGGACTCGACTCATAGCAACCCCACCCCTCCTTGGGTTTCTGAGGCAGTATCACTACAGAAGTAGATTGCCCCATGTTGCTTCCAAGGAGTGGCTGGTGGGTTTGAACCACCAGCCTCTGATTAGCAGTCAAGTGCCTTAGGCACTATGCTACCAGAGCTCCAGGAAGGCCAAAATCATTTTAAGAAAAGCTGTTCAGGCCATGCTTTTTGTGCCTATGGAATAAGCTAAGAACTTCAAGACCTGGCAGATAATGGAATGTGTTTTCTTAAAGAAGCACCAGCTTTTCCAACTAGCACCACTAATTTCTATGCTGTCACTTAAAGAAGAGAGACTTTCTTGCTCTTAAATTTCCTGTCTGCTAAGACTAAGTCTACAAATTTGAGAATTTCTGTAATACACACTGGTTGCATTTTATAGGGAATATGAGTAAATTTTATTATGCGGAGCAGATTCAGGTGAAAAGTTATCTTTATAATAAACTGTATGTAGGGTTGGCATATGTCAGCATTTAGTAAAGGAAATAAATGTTTAAATTTTACTTCTTTAGAACTTTCTTTCCTAATTTGATATTAACTTTTACACAAAAGAATTGCTTTGTCAGAAGCCTTGAAGAAATGGCTCCTCTCATAGAGGTTTTCCTTGTACTGATGGTGTCTGGGCTGTACCATCTCAAGAACTCATACAAGACCAGAGTGGGACCTTGTTTCTTTGATAAGATTGGAACTTATTTTCTTTCAATTCTTATAAGAGACATCCACAGATTTGCAGTAGAAGGCTTTCCAGAATAAAAATCCAGCACCACTAATGAGCCTTTCTCTGAGGTTGGTGGCTGAGCCCTTGGAGTTCAGAATTTAGTTTGCTTCTGCCCTTCTTTCCTGTTGAATAGCGCCCCCTGAATAAAACACTACAAAGTGACTCAACACTGTACCCAGTTGCTTTCTCCATCTGAAAATTAATCATAGGCATTCTAATTTAAAGACGAATCCAAGAGCAATACACGTGACTTTATGGTCAGGAGCTTTGATCAATAAAAGAAACCTTTTTTACTTTTATAACCCTGTGGCTCTGGCATAGAAATTATGTATGCTACAGAGTAATTACCTTCTGTAAGTGGTAGAATTGCAGATTTTTCCTTTCCCTTTCAGATGATGACAATTTATGTTTCCTCCATGATCATAAATTTTGGAGATGGAAGAATTCTTTAAGAAAATCTAGTTCAATTCCTTCATTTTCACAAATGAGGAAACTGAGGCTCAAATTGATTACTTGCCTTAACCAAGGTCACACAATTAGTAAGAGGCAAAATGGGTGCCATAAGACAAGCCTGCTTATTCTCAGTTCTTATGCTATTCACCATCTGTCTAATTTGCAACTGTATAAAAATAAGTAAAGGAAAAAGATTCATATTTTATGTAGAAATACATTATTCAATTTATAATGTTCAGTAATTAAACTGACTTTCATATAGATTATTCCAGTTCATTAGCTTCAACTCTAAGAGGAATTTTTCCTCAACAGATTTTATAATAATAATCTTAAATCAGAAATCAGCAATACAAATATAAATCACTGTTATCTGGCCTTCTAACTATTAGACAGTTACACAAATGACTCAGCTGTACATTTGCACAAATGATGCAGCACTTCATACACTTCTAAGCTCATTAAAATAATTTTCCTCCTAATGAGGGTATTATTTTTCTCTCCTAATTAATACGTCACGACTTTCCTTCTCTTCACATCCTTTTCTGTACTCATAGAGGAAAGCCTAGGTATATATAAAGGGAGAAGGAAGGAGAGGGAAAAAGGAAAGGAAGGAAAAGAGTTGGATTCACCTGAGCCATAATGTTGGAAGCCCATTCATTATTATCTCTGTTTGCAAAAATAACTTAATTTTTATAATAATAAAGTTTCTAGATTATTTATTGGGACTAATGGACCCACCAGCCACTCCTCGGAAGGAAGGTTGGGCAATCCTACTTCCGTAGTGATACTGCCTCGGAAACCCAAGGAGGGGTCGCTATGAGTCAGGGCTGACTCGACGGCACATAACAGCAACAACAACAATGGCTTTCTTGGATCACTCACAGAACCATTAATTAAATTGGAAAAATCTTTAGTTTTACTGGGCATCTCCTCTTGGAACTGATCTTGTGTAACAGACAAGGAATAAAAATCTCTGGGAACAAAAATGGAACCAGGAAAGGTAGATTTTGGAATTATCAAAGGATAAAGATATTCTGAGTGAAGAGATACTCATTTCAAACTTAAGAACTTAAACTGATTATTCTGATAAAAAAGGGACTTCTGATTCTTCGTCTATGTTGATAATCTAGTTATCTAAATAACCTTCTGTGGATCAGAGAATGGGAAGGGGTGGATAATGGTCTTGCCTACATTTGATCCTTTAAGCCGTGGTTCTTAAATGAGGATGATTTTGCCCTGTTCTCCCAGAGGTCATTTGACCATGTCTGGAGACATTTTTGGCTATAATAACTTATGCAGTATGTTACTGTCATCTGGTGGATATAGGTCAGGGATGCCACTAAGCATCTTATAATGCACAGGACAACCTCACTCAACAAAGAATTATATGGCCCAGAGTACCAATAGTGCTGCTGTTGAGAATCCCTGCTTTAGAATCACTCATGCAAAATTGTAAGATGCATAGTTCCATTTTAGCTTTCCCTCTTCCTCTTCCATTAGGCCCATAGGGATGTCTTCCCTTATGTACTTCTCTAATTTTTTATGGTACCTAGTGCCCTTTTATTGTCTTGTTGCCTTGTCTTGTTATGTGCCATTGAGT